GAACTACTGCCCAATTTTCTAAATCTTAAAGAATGACAAATGTTATAATATTGTCCAAAATAATGTTTTATCAGTATTAAGAAGAACTTCATTAAATGCATTTAATCCAACCATATGAAATTCTGCTCAGGCCCTCACACAACTTTAGGCTGGCCCTAAAAGAAACTCAATGAGGGAATAAATTCAACCTTTCTTTTTTGTCCAACTTAGCCATCCCCCAAAATGTGACATATTTCCCATAATAAAGCCGATGAGTAAATGGGCCATATGCACTGAATCAGCTCAGCTTATGATTCATGCCTGTCTTCATGTTGCAATATCAGTCTGAGAGCAGGTTCTGGGGTTTAGATCTGCTGGCTTTTGTTGCCTTTACCTAATTATGATGCAGTATAACTGGTTCCAGCAGCACCTGGGGTTCATTCTGATAAAAGACTGTGATCAGAGAAACAAAGTTAAAGCCTAATTAACTTCCTCAGCTCTCAAACCCTGTGGGTTATGTAAGAGCAGCCTCTGAGATCATCCTCAGGTCCCCCTGAAGTCTCCCCATCTGACTGATTTCAGTAGAATAAACATTCCCCTTTCTGGAAAACACCAGGCAGAGACACACACAGCTTCTATTGGTTCTTTCTTTTTACATTAACTTCTCCTAAAATGGTCTTTGATGACTTAAAGCAATGTTTTGGATCACTTTTAGTCAATTTCACCAACTTTTAAAACATTTTAATCTAAGATGATGATGCTCAACTTCAGTTAAAACAGTCAGCAGATGAAATTGAATATAAGCAGGAGGATTGTTGCATGAATGTTTATAAAAATATATATTTTTTTCTTTCTAACACACTGAAAAGTGTAAAGCTTAAACTTTTGCTGCCTCCTGCCACTGTGGAAGCGCACAAAGGGGCGCAGCCTGCTAGAAGCGTTTATGTCAACAATTAAATTGTAACACGGGTCACTTTTCACTCTTTTTGTTTTCTAAATAATAGAGACACAAAAGCCCCATTCAGAAGCTGAACTGCAGCTACACACCTCACATTTAAATGTGTTCAAATAAAAAAACATCCAAAATAAGGAAATAATCATTTTAAGATGATATTTACCCCCAGAATAAACTCTGTCTCTTCTCTTGTAAAATCACGGTAGTCTTTAGTCGTAGGCTACAATCCACGGACACGGAGGTGAGCTCCACGCAGGGAATAAACCTCTTACTGACGGGTTGTTATTACTGTCTCTGAGAAAGTTAAAGTGGATCAACTCCCCAACTGAAGGAGAAGCGTTAAATCAGCTCACTTAAAGGGACCGAGGCCAACATCCGGTTTGAGATTTCAAAATAAGATCCTCTCACACTTAGCCTAACGCAACAACACAAAAGAAAGTTTCTCAAAAAGAGCAGTTTGCTATTGTTTTTGATGCTATTCCACCAGGTGTAATAATGTTATTTAAAGTTCAGACTTCTCTGTTCTCCGAAGGCCCAAGACCTCTACCTGATCCAACTGATACTCATGTAGGTAGACTCTGTTTTCAACCCAAATCTCCTAACAAATAACAAACATTGACACTGTATTCAAAGATAACTGCATCTCAGTTCCTTATGTAATTTCAGTCTGGTCTGGTCTCAGAAGTATGTTGGAACAAAACATGGTCTTTACTCATTAAATATATTCTAGTAAACAAGGTTAAAGAGGTTTCCTTTAAAGGTTAAAGAGATTATTCACCGCTGTCCACAGGTGTGAAGTAACGAAGTACAAATACTCATTACTGTACTTAAGAGCACTTTTAGGTATCTATACTTTACTCCATTACTTATTTTTCTTCCTACTTCTGACTTCTACTCATTACATTTTCACACAGGTATCTGTACTTTCTATTCCTTGCATTTTAAAACAAATGTTGATCGTTACTCTTGGCTTTGGTTTAATGTTTATAAATATTTATTTCATGTCATGTGCGCCATCATTGCAGATCATTGGCTCCATCCACATCTAGTGAAAACTAATGTAATTGGATGAGTCATATAACGCAAACACTGATTGGTTAGCTAAAGGAAATCCTCAGAAGCAAGCAGGTG